CTGCTGGAACAAATGGCCGCGAAGGGGGTCGGGGAGCAGCCGGGCGTGGGCTGATGGCGGGGTGCTGTGGCTGCATGCCGCTGCCTCTCGGGACCCCTGGAAGGGGTGGCCGGCAGGTCCAGTGAGGTTCTCGAGAGGATTTCCTGGTGGAAGGAGGACTGAGGGTAGCGACGGAGCTGGAGATGTGTCTCGTGCTGTGGTGAATGGGCGTGCAAGATCAACCTTCCTCTGTGGTTGTCGTGTAACCTCTGATCTGTTTTACTTTTTTCCTCCAGTAAGTCTTTTACTCATCCCTAGCTCGTGGCTGCCTGCCTCCACGCTTTCTAGAGCCCCTAAAACCACCCTTGGTTTGACTGGGACCAACTCTGTGAAGGTTCAAGTTCGCCATTGATCCTGGGAGACAACATCTGTCTTTGGCCCTCCTTTGTGCGGTCACGGAGAGGTTCTCCAGCACCACTCCTCTGCAGAAGTGCGCTTCTGAGCTTGCTCCCCCCTTGCCAAGCTACCTTTTTAATGAATTACATGACGGAGCATCTCTCCCCTCCCTGTTGCCCAGCCTGGCTCAGTTTAGGATCTTCTCCATTGTTTTCCATGTGCCAGTGGAGACGTTGGGCACCAGGTGAAAAGTCTCAAAAGCACCATGTCTTGCCAAGGGAGAGTTAAGCCAGAAATTCATTCTGAGTATTGTTTCTTCCAGAAACCTACCATGATGGAGGGAAAAAATGTGGTTTAGCCTTGGACTTTTTTTTTCTGCAGTAGCCTTTCTGCAGAGAAATGAAGCTCACGATGTACAAACCAGCATTTTTCATCTGCAAAGGTGTTTGCTCTGACTCTGCAAAACAATCTTTAAACTCGGAATGGCTAAATTATCTTCACTGCTTCTCTGCAGCTCTGCTATGCTTCTATCAAAGTTCACAAAAATGTATTTTTTAATATCCCCAGACTCCCATATTTCCCAAAGTGCTTCTTATTTGGATGTGTGCTCATCCATATTCATCCTCCTTCCACCTGCAAGAACCACAGCAGAACTGCCCTATCTCTGAATCAGTGTCTAGGACAGGCAGCAGTAGCTGTCTGCAAGGTCTGCTTTGTTTCAGAAGAACCAGTGTTTGCTCCTCAAAGGGTGAGAGGAGGGGTCTGCAGAGGAGGCACCTGGACGCTTGGGATGAGATTCATGACAACTTTTCCTTTATGGCATACACCCTCTGTTGTTTTTTTTTCCACAGCCTTTTTTTACATCCTTCAGGAAAACTGATGCTCAAAAGATCTAGAGGAGAGATGAGACAAGAAGTGTCCTCTGCGCCTTGTGCACTGTCAGGCCTGTCTGTGGGTTTGGAGCGGGTCTGACACCGTTGAAAAATCAGGACGAACAAACCTCTTGATTGCTTTTTAAGCGTTTGAATAAAACAAGGTTTTAACCAGAACCCCCTAACACTCCATGGTAGCATGGCTGTCCACCTCGCTTTGTGGCGCAGGGTGCTGTTGGTCACGGCATCTGAAGGTGTTTCATCCCCGAGCATGTTGCTAATATCCTCTGGCCTGCGTGTTGAGAAACAGATCGAGGCTTTTTTTTTTTGTTTTTAGTGAACCCATGTCTGGCTTCACCAAGGTCCTTGTGGTAAAGGAACGCTCTTGGACAGTTGATGTGGCGAGTGTAGGTGGCTCAAAATAGTGTGGTGTGACTCTGCCTTCAGCGTGCTGTCCCGCGCGGAGGATGCGAGCGAGAGCTTCGCGTGTGCCTGAGGATCCTGTGCCTCTTGTCCGCTCAAAGCTGCCTGTCACTCAGAGTCTGTCATCTTCTTTTCAGCTTGATTTATCATCCAGCATAACTAGGTTTCCAAGTTTCGGGCTTTCCTCCTCCCAGGGGCAGACAGATAAATCTGCCATGCAAATGTTTTAGCTCTCTGGTTTCAGGAGTAAGAGATTCTTCTGCCACAGGGAGTGAAAGAAAACGCAGCCATTGGGGCAGGGCTGCTGTTGTCTTCTCTGGGGCTGGAACTGTGCACAGGAGGTTTCCAGTTTACCCAGCACGACCATGGATCTGCAGAGCACCGGTGCTAGATCAAGGCGAGCAGAGCTTGTCTTCTTGGAAACAAGACTAGTTTAGATCTTGGTGTTGGTTATTCACTCCTTGTAACCTTAATGCGTTTAATTTGTGAAAGAAGTATTTAAGGAAAAATGAAGATTTTAAGTTCTAGCTGCTTAAGCCAAAGACTTCATCATTTAGGGAATACACAGGAATTCTGTTCCTTTAGTACTACCTGCCAGAAAAGCACTTGTTGGGGCAGAGGAGAGCCTGGGGGTCTCTGACAGAACAGCTGCCTTTGAATGGGATGCCAGCCTGGAAGTTGCCCTGAACTGGTCCTGTTAGTGCTGGAAAAGGAGACTTTGGGCCAGTGGCAAGAGTGAGTCTGGGGGATGGAATTGGTCACTCCTCACCCTACTGAGCAGAGCAGGTGGAGATTTACTGCCTAGTATGCAGGGAAAGAGGTACATCTAGACCAGATGCAGGACCCGCTCAGGGTCGGGTTCTCCCACGCGAGAAGGACAGGAACGGTCTCAGCCTATTTCCAGAGCTGCCTAACCTGGTTTGTCTGATTGCTCGGGGCGTCTTCTTCTCTTCCTTGTTGCTTGTGCAGCCCCAGGGAGCGCAGCCAATGTCACATCACCTGGCACGCGGCTCTTTCCGGCTATCGTGCTGTAGCAGATAGGGCTGGCAAGCCTCCTCCCTCCGGGGAGCGATGGGGGAGGCACAGCAGCCGTACCTGCGTTCGCAGTGCCCTTCACTTGCTGGCTTGAGTGAAGGCGAAGGGAATTGCTCGCCCCCAGAGCAACGAGCTGTTGTTTTCCACAGCCCTCTGTGACTGCTCCTGGGGAAGTAAATAGACCCCAGCGCTCCCGAAGCGGCCTGGCCCTCGTGGTGCCGCGAAGGGACGGATCTGCTGTCATCAGGCCGGCGTTTGCGGAGAGCTGTTAGACTCGCCCTGTCACTGGGAAACAGTTGGAAGCGAGAGGTTTCCCGAGGCAGCCCGAGATGAAACGCGGCATGTGGCTTGGCGAGAGCTCGGTGCGAAGCGGGTGTTTGCCGCAGGACGGGAAGGAGGGATTGCAGCGAGAGGAGAAACTGGGTCTCGGAGAGCGCTGGGGGTGCATGAGAGGCGACGTTCAGCTAAGGTTAATTTGGTCTCGCTGGGCACAGAAGAGACGGCGCTCACTAACTAGTCAGTAACTACCTTTTCCTAGTCCTGTCCCTGGCAGGGTTTCCCATCCCCAGCCGCCTGTGTCGGTGGCCAGCCTCCTGCGGGCTTGGCCGCGGGACTCGTGCCCTGCTCTGTTTAATTCCTCTGTGTTTATATTTATGACATTCAAAGTTGCCGGTAGTAGTAGTCTCAGCATTTTGTTGTTTTTTTCATTACTGGGTAATTCACAGCTCTGCTGCGATGCCTCAGACCAGTGTGAGAGCGAGCTCTGTGTGAGCCACAGTGGCCCATCCATTGCCAGCACCAGACTGTAAATCTTACTGCTTGCTGCCCTGCCAGGCAGGTTTTTTTCCCCCTGTTCCTTGTTAACTCCAGCAGCTGATGATCATCTTTCCCAGGCTGATGTGATTTCTGTGACACCAGAATTATTTTTCTGCTGGTTTTATGTGCCGTGCTAGGAGTAACAGCCTAGCAGTAACTGCTGCTGGCTCAAATTTCTACCAGTGAAGTAAATAAGGGCATTAGCCCAATCTCTTCAATTCATTTTTGTCCATAGCACATTGCTTTTCATGATAAGCTTTGTAAAATGTTGTTAGGCTTTTCCCTGACATAAGTGAAGGGTAGACGAGCAGACTTTGTGCCTAGAAGTGATGAATTTTAATAGCAGTGTTTCAGTGCTGCCTTAGTCTCTTCCAGAGTGGTTTCACCCAGGGATTAACTGCAGACAGCCTGTTCCTCCTGCCCAGGAAATGGCTGGCTGGGTCTTGCTCCATCGTGCTTGACAGATCACAGGAAAGCTGCGGAGTAGCTGCTGCTCCCGTGCATCTGCCTCTGTATGTAGGTGAGGTCTTGGAAGCGTTAGTCCAGTTGCGAATGTGTAGGAATATTACTGGGGTTGACTGCAGCCAAGATGAATCTTGTCCTCCTTTAGAGGTCAAAGCTCCAGCGTTTCTAAGCCATTTTCAGATGGTGATATTGAGCCAGGGTGCAGAGCAGAAGCATCCACTGACTGAGACCCTGAGGGCGATGGGCTCAGCCAACCATGGCAGCGTTACGCTTCTGACAGGGCCAGGGCAACCGTGGGAGGGCAAGTCCCTGCGGGAAGGCGACTGGAGGAGATGCCTGCCCAAGGCAGTCCTGAGCCCATTCTCTTATCTGCTGGCCAGCACCGATAGCAAGTGGTGATTAATTCCTGTGCACCTTGCCTTCTCCAGAGATAAGGAGATGCTCTATGTGGAGCAGGATTGCTGGTGCCAAGACTGTCGGTCATGGTGGAAGGAGAAGGAGGGTGGTGGGGAGTGCAGACCTGGGCTTGACCTGAAACCTTCTCTCTCTCCAGCTTTCATCCTCATGATTATTCTGGCCCTCATCCGCATCAGCAGAGGCCAAGCTGAAGGTCACCCGTCCATGGCTCAGCTATCGGGCATCCGCAATCTCTTCGGGGTGTGTGTCTACTCCTTCATGTGCCAGCACTCCCTGCCATCCCTCATCACGCCCATCTCCAAGAAGAAGCACGTCAACAAGCTCGTGCTGCTCGATTACATCCTGATCCTGGCTTTCTACAGCCTCCTGTCCTTCACTGCCATTTACTGCTTCCGCAACGACACCCTCATGGACATGTACACGCTCAACTTCACCAACTGCGAGATCATCAACGTCGCCTTCATTCGTTACTTCCTGGGCCTCTTCCCCGTCTTCACCATCAGCACCAACTTCCCCATCATTGCGGTCACCCTGCGCAACAACTGGAAGACCCTCTTCCATAGAGAAGGGGGGACCTACCCGTGGGTGGTGGATAGGATTGTCTTCCCTGCCATCACGCTGATTCCCCCGGTGCTGGTGGCTTTCTGCACCCACGACCTGGAGTCCTTGGTGGGGATCACGGGAGCCTATGCCGGGAACGGGATCCAGTATCTCATCCCGGCTTTCCTCGCGTACTGCAGTCGCAAGGACACTCAGCTGGTCTTCGGCAGCGGGACGGTTAACAAGCACCTCTCCCCTTTCCGGCACACCTTCTGGATTGTGTTTGTGCTCATATGGGGCTTTTCCTGCTTCGTGTTTGTGACTGCAAACATTGTCCTGAGCGAGCCAAAACTCTGAGGTGGGAGTAGCGGCTCCAGACGCTTCGGCATTTCAGCTCCCGCTCTGGGACTGAGGAGTTGGGGAGAGGCAACATGAAGGGAAGTTTCCAGGCAGTCACCTTCCAGGTTAGACCTGGACACAGACTTTCTTCACTCCATTTTGGGTGTGGATGAAGTGGGCTCGGCCTCCTTACAGTCTTGGTTCTCAGACCCCTGTATAAGGCTGTGGGGCTGAGCCCTGGGCAGCCCGGCCAATTAACCAGCGTCCAGCCATTTCTGCCCTGGGCTCTGTCGGAGCGTCACTCCCTCCGTGCTGCAGGTCTCGGCACACAGGAGAGCAGACAGCCTTGGCTGCTCGCTACGCTAATCGGCTTAATGTCCCTTCTCCCAAAGGCAGGGACGTGCTGTGCAGAATCCGGCAGGAGTTTGGGAGAGCTGAGTCTCTTCTTTCTGCTGAGACCCCTTGAAACCAACCTCCGGTGCCAGCTGAAGGAAAAAATTAGGGTGGGAATACATCTAATTCAGAAGAAAATAATTTTGTGCTCTGTTACGTTTTCTTTTTCTAGAGGCATTAACCTGTTTGTGCACCATGGATTGCCTGGGATCTGAGATCTTTTGCTCAGAGCTGGATTTCTCCAGCCCAGGAGTTTACATTCACGCTTCTCATCCTGTTCTCCTGTGCCGTGGCCCCAGCCAGACGGAGCGATGTCCCCACGCATGCAGGGATGCAGCTCCTCGCCCTGGAAAGGAAGCTGCAGCCTTGCTTCTCTCGGCTCCTGCATGTGGCTCAGTCCTTCAGCCGGCAGAACCCTTCTCTCTTCCGCACCTTTGCACGGGACCGGTGCAACGAGCCGGACCCTGGCTCTGTGGCCAGGGCTGGTGTGGGCTGAGGAGGTGCTAATTACCCAGTCCTGACACGCGTGAGGCCTGCGAGAGCTCCGGCTGCGCACACTGATGCGTTTCCAGCCTCCTGCGCTGGGTAATTAGCCTTGAAACGAGGTGGGTGTTAACTCAAGGGAATGGGCTGGTGCCAGGAGGCAGCGGCCATGCCCTGGCTGAGCCCTCTGTGCCTGCAGGAGCAGAGCTCCGGGCGCTCTGGGGGAGCAAAAACTGAAACCTTGCTGGAACTAGGCTTGAATCCCCCCCCTTTTCTCTTTCCGCATGGGGTTAAGGTGGACTTCGGGCTGCTCAGCTTGTCTGAGACTTGGGCTGCCTCTTAGCTTTGGTAGCCAGTGCTCTAGGCAGGTCTATGCTTTTGAGGCTACTGGTGGCCGCTGTGATATCACACGGGTGACAAGTAGCACTGGCTCCCGTGCGCCTGAGGCCCTTGGGCAAAGATCGTGTGGGTTTTTCTAACAAAAGGAAGAACTTTAAGAGTTTTCACTTGAAATATTTTAAGCCCCTCCCTTATTAAAGCAGGTTCAGAGCCAGGTGCTTGTCATTTATGTTAGATCCTCTTGCCCTCTGCACTTGCTGCAGTGTTAAGTGTCACCGCTCGCTAAAGCGAGCTTTGAACTGCAGCTCTCTTTAATCAAGCTCTGTTTTCAAGTAGGACTTTCTGGTTTCCATATGACCTGAAGTGCTCCTCCAGGGGGAATATGCAAGTACCTGGAGCTGTATAAAAACACTTCATGGCTTTTAAAGCAAAACCCTCCACCTCTTGAGCCTGAGCTCTGCTGCTGTGTCCTTGCCAAGCTGCTTGGAGAGGATCTGGGGAGTCTGGTTGTCTCCTCTCCAGCATGATCCTAAACGGGCTTTGGCAGCCCTCGTTAGTGAGTTTAAACATCCCCAAATGCAGCGAGGAAGCGGATGTGGCATCTTCAGTGCCAAATTAACAAGTGATTTCACAGGTTGCTGGTGCTGGTGTCTCATTTAGGAAGGGGTAGGTTGGAGGGCAGATTCCTGGGGCAGCTGAGCTGGAGCCACCTGTGAGGAGGAGGCAGCTGGGAGCTGGGCAGAGCCCGAGGGAGGAATTTCAAGCTGGCGAAATGAGCCTTTGGAAAGCTGGAGAGGCTGCGGGGCTGTTCCTCTGCACAAATGCACACGTGTGTGGGTTTATGGAGGGGGCTGAGGCTGCACTGACTGCCCTGGGCTGCCCATGCTCTGCAAAGCCCTTGGCTCAGCCTCAATCCCTTCAAGTGCCCATTTCAACCTCTTGCCTTTGCATTTCATTGCCAGCTGGAGAACGGGTTATTTCATCTCATCTTCCCCTTGGTTTCCCTCCCTTGCTGCCCCTACTCCATACAGGGTCGCCTTCTCCCTGCCTTGCCTGGGGCAGGAGGGAGCCCAGCCTGGCCACTCCCTCCTGCCATCTCTTAAATTTGAAGATGTGCCTTCTCTTCCCTGGCCTGGAGGAGCAGCTATCCTCCTCAGCACGGTGTGTGGCAGTGACTTCCAAAGGGCCTTACCTCTAATTGCTGCTTGGATCCAGGGTTTGGATGCAGTGGCAGGGTGAGGGCTCGCGTCCTGGCCCCAGCCTTCGCCGTGGCACCTTACTGAGAAGGACTCTGGTCCTTAAGGAGCATGAGTGCTTTCTTAAATAAATAATCACGAATTTCCAGACACCCACAGCAGCAGAACAAGTCTATCCAAGGAATCGGGGCAATTAACAGAAAGAAGGTCTATGGCAGAGAGAACGTTTTTGGTATGACACTTGACATAGCAATGCCTTAAAAATTGCTGGAGAGTGGGAAAGGGAGGGCTTGGGGGAGCCAGCGCTGGCTGGGGGGGACGCTGGGTGACCCTGGTGTGGGGCAGGAGCTCCCGAATTACTTTATTTCGCTGTTACCAACATTAACAACTCGTTATTACAGATTCTCATGTGTTGCTTGTCCTGACTGTAATTAGTTTTCAAAAAATGGGATTAAAAACAATAAAGTGCACATTATACATCTGGTTTCGTCTGACTTCTTTTTCCACCACCTTCCCTCCTCTCAGGCACGCACGGAGCAGCTATTCCTGGAGGGGACGGCCGTGACTGATGGGGCTGCGGGCCAAGGAGAAATGGCAAGCGGAGAGGCTAATGGAGACCCTCACCTCTTCCTCTCTATTAGCCTCCTGCAACTCTGGGTGGGAGCTGCGAACTCAATTAAAACATCTGTACTTTCCCCTTCTCTATTACGGCTCCTTACACTTAAAACCAAACAAATTGAATTGCTCCACTGCCTCGGGCTGCAAAGGCAGTTTCTGCCAACAAATTTATTATCGCCGTAAAGCGCAGCTTGATATATGTTAAAATATTAAAACAGATCTTTATGATGGAAATAAACACTTTCTGCTGTGATTCTCTCGAAGGACCTCACAAGCAGTGGAAGGTTTTGGGGCTTGGGCAGTAAATCTGTGATCAAACTGGCGTTGGGGGTGGATTCGCTCTTTTGCAGCACTTCGAAGAGCAATGGCCAGGGAAGGAAAAATGAAAACCTTGAGCCTGAGAGGCAGGTTTAGGTAAAGCTTGGACATCACTGAGGAGCAGCGGGTTGCTCTGAGGGGGCGGTTTAGCTGTTTAAAGGTTTGTGAGAAGGTGCCTTTCCCTCACACAGGTTTGGGCAGACAGGCCCTGACCCCAGGAGCTGTGGGCAGCTTCAGGAGAGGCTCTTGGCCGCGGGGGCTCAGCCGAGGGGGCTGCCGGCAGGCCAAAGCCCTGCTGGGGGGG